AGTGACCTTGGAAGTTTGGCCCCTTCCCTGTGGTGGTTTTCGGAAGTCGTCGAAATTTCGGGACGTCCCTGGCCCTTCCTGGGCCTCAGGGGGCTCCCGAAAGGCGCCAGGTGGATGGCGAAGGATAGGACAGGAGGGAGGGACTCTCGGGGAGCGAGGAGAGGGAAGCGGATGTGGGGGAGGACGAGTGATGGAGCGGCAGACGGAGGAGGAGGAGGAGGAGGAGGAGGAGGAGTCAAAGGAGGAGGAGAAGGAGGAGCCAGACGAGGAGCAGGAGGAGAGAAAGAGATGGCGCCATCTGGGGATTCATGTGTACGTACACGGTTGCAGAAATGTTTGGCAGTGAATGACGACAAAAGGCTTTCGTTGGCCTGCATATTGGCCGGCTCGTGGCTCAGGTGCCCCGGTGCGCAATGCGAAGGAATAGCAAGCCATGCGAATGAATGCCAAGCAAACCGACGCCATGTCAAGCAATGCCGCAAAGCACAAAGTATTGCCAAGCCGAGGATGCCATGCTGCAGCGGGTCGCAACGGGGCACGCGAAAATGAGCAATTATTTGGGAATGCGCCGAATCCCGGGTTCGCAATTAATATCCGGGAATTGGGGTTGTGAATTTGGGATTCGGGTCGGTTTGGTGGAACGCGCCTTGTGGGCATTGTTGCAGCCGTGGTGGGCCGGCTCGGGGCCCTCTGGAGCCGTCCTGGGGCCGTCTTGGGCCGTATTGGGGAGCTTGGGCTTGACCTTACGGGGCTACGTGGACTCCTGGTGGCGCCTTTTTCGGGGGCCTCCCATGGCCTCATTCGGCTTATCTTGGGGGTCTTGCGAGGGCCAGTTTGGTTTTGTTGCTGCCCATTTGGGGCTTTCTTGGACAGTCTTGGGGAGTCTTGGGGCCATCCAGGTCGTCTAGAGGCTCGCACGGGGGTCTCTTGGGCCGTCTTGCGGCGATACCAGTTGTTTTTGGTGCTGTTTTGGACGCTGCTGAGACCCGAACAGCAAATATGCTGAAAATGCACGTCCCTGAGGGAATGAGGCGATTTCTGCGTTTTGGGAGTCCTGTTGGAGGCCTCTTGGGCCGTCGTGGGGGCCTCTGGAGGCCATCTGGGTCCATTTTGGAGCGCTCTTGTGTTGTTTTGGGTCTCTCTTCGGCCTTGCTGATCACGGCTCTGATCGCTCGGGGCCTGCTGGCAAGACCCGGGTGAGCGCCTTGGGAGGACTGGGACGAACCGGGGGACCTTCGGCAACGGTGCCCAGTGGGCCCGGAAATGCCGGATATTATTGGGGGTCCAGTTTTTTTGTTTTTTTCGGGAGGGGTCCCACCCACCCCAGCTTGCAAAATTATAGGAAGAGGAATGTGTGTGTGGGGGGCATATGTATGTGTATATGTAATTACGTGCATGCGTGCACACATATCAACATGCCTATATGCATACGTACATACATACATACATACATACATACATACACCTTCATATACATATACATACATACATACCTATACGACCACCATTCGGGTGATAAGGAGGTTCGGGGGGGGAGGAACCAACGTCTCACTCGATCGGTCTCACTATCGATCTCACTATCGGTATCGCTCGATCGATATCACTCGATCGATCTCACAATCGATATCATTCGATCAATTTCATTCGATCGATCTCACAATCGATCTGACTGTCGATCTCACAATCGATCTCACTATCGATCCCACTATCGATCTCAGAATCGACTTCACATTCGGTATCACTATCAATCTCACTAACGATATCACAATCGATCTCACAAGCAACGTCATCATCATCATCATCATCATCATCATCATCATCATCATCATCATCATCGACATCCTCGTCATCAACGTCATCAACATCATCATCATCATCATCATCATCATCATCATCATCATCATCATCATCATCATCATCATCGGGACACCATCATCATCATAACTTCATCACCATCATCAACATCATCATCATCCCCACCATCATCATCATCAAGACACCATCATCGTCACCATCATCATCATCAACATCATCACCATCGGGACACCATCATCATCATCAGCATCGGAACACCACCGTCATCATCATCATCTCATCATCATCCTCATGAACATCATCACCAACATCATCATCATCGGGACACCATCAGCATCATCGGCATCAGCATCATCATCATCAACATCATCATCATCATCATCAGCATCATCATCATCATCATCATCATCATCATCATCGGGACACCGTCATCATCGTCACCATCATCATTATCATCGTCACCATCATCATCATCATCACCGGGACACCATCATCATCAACATCAGCATCAACATCATCACCATCATCGGGCCACCATCATCAAAATCATCATCATCACCTCATCATCATCCTCATCAACAACATCATCATCGGGATACCATCATCGTCATCATCATCTTCATCATCATCGGGACACCATCATCATCACCATCATCATCCACAGCATCATCATCAACCTCATCATCATCATCATCATCATCGGGACACCATCATTATCATCATCATCATCATCATCATCATCATCTTCAGCATCATCATCTCATCAGCATCTCATCATCATCAACATAACCAGGATCGTCAACATCATCATCATCATCATCATCATCAGCATCATCGACATCGACATCATCATCATCATCAACATCATCATCATCATCATCATCATCATCATCATCATCATCATCATCATCATCATCATCATCATCATCATCATCATCATCATCATCATCATCATCATCGGGACACCGACGGGACACTGGCGGGACACTGGCGGGACACCGCGGGCCACCGGCCCCCGGAAAGGAATCATTTGGTCCGGCCGCGCCTCAGCCGGAGGCGGGACACCGGCGGGACACCGCGGGCCACCGGCCCCCGGAAAGAAATCATTTGGTCCGGCCGCGCCTCAGCTGGAGGAGATTGTCTTCTCGCCCGCCCACGCAGCTTCGCCTCGCCCGCACGCACGGCACGCACGAACACGAAACCGAAACCGATTTCCTGGTAGGGGGGCTCTCCGTTCCACTTCGATCTCACCCCCTCCCCTCCGACCGACCTACATACATACCTACCTACATACATGAATACATGCATACATGCATGCATACATTCACGCATGCGTGCATGCATAAACATGTACAAACTCATGTATGTATGTACATTACATACACATAGACACACAAAATTGAATACACATATCCGTACATATGTACACATACAAACACATACACGTATACATGTATACACATGTTCGAATACACATGCATGGCCATGCACATTTGCTTATACAATAAAGAAAAATCGGCATGTGTATATGTATATATAATGTGCATATGCATGTAGAATCAACCGTACACAAGACTTAATTTTCAAAATCAGCCATGTGCCAAGCAAGGTTCTTTGAAGTTCGACATGCAAGCGGAAAGGCAGGAAGGAAAGACAGACAATTTGGCGATGATTATTTGTCGTCTGTTCGGCATCGTCTTCATAACAAAGTTATGAATTAACCTTCCCTCGTGTTTCCTCTTACTCTTCCCGATATTCGCCTTACCCTGCGAATTCTTCCTCATCCTCATCAGCTCTTGTTGCAGAAGCTCCTCCTTGGAGAGCCCCCTAGGGGCCTTACCAACTTTGTAAGGGCTTCTTTGGACCTTCTGGAGGCCTCCTTGGGTTCCTTCTGGGGCCTCTGGGGGCTTCCTCCGGCCTGGAAGACCTTTTGGGTAGTTTGGGGAGGCGATGTTCGGGCCTCCTGGGCGGTCTCGGACGCCCAGAAAACCGAAGAACAGAGTATTCTAACATCATGCGCAAATTCCGCGGAATCCATGTCGGTCTGCTGTTCGAAATCCTCTTGGAGGTCTTCTTTGGGTCGTCTTGGGCGTCTGGTGGGTGTCTGGGGCCTCTGGGGGCTCTCGCGGGGCCGTTCCGTCGCCTTGGTGAACCCATTTGAACCTGCTGCCCAGGCCCAGCAGGGGCTTCCAGGAGCCCCAGAGAGCCTGGGGGACCTTCTGCAGGGGCGTCCAGGGGGCTCCTGGGGCCACGGATCAGGAGGGGTCACGTTTTGGGGGGTGGGGGGGAGGAAGGGGTTCTCACCCCCCCATTTCGGGAAAAATGCAGAAAAGGGAATGTATGTAGGTACAGGTGCGTACTGGGATGTACATGCGGTGTGCTTTGTTTTGTGTCTTTAGACGTGGTCTCGGGCCCATTACGTGTATTCCGCGACGGCGGTCCATCATGGCGGTCGAGTTCAAGAATCAATGTGTTATCATACGCATTGCCAAATTTCAAAATAATGGCATTCATCTTGCAGTCAGACACGTCCACAATGAAGCATTGCAGTTCGGTTCGAGAGGCATGAGTCGTACGCTCCCACACAAAGCGTGCCAACAGTAGAGTTCGGCAGCGTTATCCGAGTCATGTTGTGGGCAGAGTAGCACGTTCCAAGAATCATGATGGAGAGTCCGTCGTGCAAGACTTTGTCGTAAGTATGGCTTCGGTAGCTTCCACGAGCTTCCACCGATACCTCAGAGAGTTCACCGATTCCCAAAACAGCACGGGGCCTTCATAGGGATCCAGGAGCACATGGCAATTCTCAGATCATCTAAAGGTGATTCGAGAAGCCTCGGGGGAAAATATGAGTCGCGCATCGCAGTTCTCGCAGCGCGATGTGCGAAGATGATTCAGATGGGTTTCGAAGTAGTCATGAATTGGGGAAGCGGCAGACGTTGCAGATGCTCAGTGTGCCCGTTATGACAAGGATCCCCCAGCAATCATTCTCTCTTGGAGTTGGTCGGTAAGAGGAGCAAAGGGGAGGGTTGGACCTTTGGGTGCAACGAGGATTCTTGCACATATAGGAGCACTGAGTGCCACAGTTTCAAGCCCCTCTCCCGCCCCCCACCCCCCCACCCAGACTTTTCGGGCACAACACAGTGCAATGGGAGAGGGCTTGCGCGTGTCGCAGCACAGCCCAACAGGAGTTCTGCTGCAACGCAGCTGTCCCCAAGGAGGTGTCGGCGTGTCTTGCCTGCATGCTCATGCCGTCCGCTCCCCGCTTGCTGCCGCCTGGTGTTGTTATCATTTCTGTCCCGCGTGGATTTGTGGAAATTGCTGACGCTTCGCGAATCCCCACCAGCCTATCCAGAAACGATGCCCAGAGGAAGTGCCTCGATCAGGGAAGTGGGCAGAACACAGAGGAAGCCAGTATGAGACATATTCGGATATCTTGAGCCATCTTGGAGGACATGTTGGGCTCTCCCAGGCGCTCTTGGAGTCATCTTAATCAGTGCCCCCCAAGAGGCCAACATGTGGCTAAAACCTTCGTAAAATCAATGATTTGGCATTCTCGCCGATGCCTTTTGGAGCATCTTGGGGGCCTCTTGGGGGCCTCCTGGGGGCCTCTTGGGGGCCTTTTGGGGGCCATCTTTGGGCCATCTTGGGACCTCTTGGGGCCTCCTGGGCGCTTCTTGGGGCCATCTTGGAGGAGATCGATCAAACAAGAGGGGAGCATGAATTAGCGTACCCCCCCCCAGGAGGCCAAAATGGGGCCAAAACGTTGATAAAACCAATGGTTGTGGCTTCCTCGCCGAGGCCGTTTTGGACGCTCCGACGATTCGCGAAACCTTTTGTCCAGGTCCATGGGGAGGGGGTAGGGGGAGGGGTCAAGACGCCTTCCCCGCCCACAAGCCGCCCACCCGCCCTCCCATCACATACGTAGCACCAGAGCCTGGCCCGAGCCGCAGCATATGCAGCAGTCGTCTGTGGATGGGCAGCTACTGAGGGCCAATCCGCTGCCGCCGCCTCCGCCGCCGCCGCCCGCCCGCCGCCGCCGCCGCCACCGCGCCGCCGCCGCCGCCGCTGTCCGCCGCTGCCGCCGCCACCGCGCCGCCTGCCGCCGCCGCCGCCGCTGCCGAATCGCCGCCGCCGCAGCCGCTGCCACCGCAGTCGCTGCCGCCACCGCTGCCGCCGCCGCCGCCGCCCCCGCCGCCGCCACCGCCACCGCCGCAGCCGCCGCAGCCGCTGCCCCCGCCGCAGCCGCCGCAGCCGCCGCCGCCGCCGCCAAGTATACCCTGCATTGTTGTTTGACAGGGATGGTTGGGGGAGGCCGCATCGGTTTCGCTGCGCATGTTCGGAATTCGGAGACAGAGTGTGGTTTGTATTATCTGTTACAAGGGATGATGGGGGCAGAGTGTGTTTTGCATCGCTGTTTTAAAAAAGGGATGGTGGGGGGGGCCCGCATGGACCTGGGTTGGCTCCCAGTCGCCTGGGGGAGGGGGTGCATATTAACAGGTGGCAGTGATAAACCCCTCCCCGAAGTGGAAGAAGGAGGGGTGGAAGAGGAAACTCCCTAAACCACCGACGCACAGAGCGCTGGTGGGATTAGAGAAACCGCATTGCTGCAACTGGAGAATGCGTCCATAATGCCATGTTGGGATTGGCCGATGATATCTAGGCAGGATTATTGGAACTGTACTTGCACGTGTGCAGGCCCGGCAAAGTTTACTCTTCACGCAGCTCTCTCCACGCCTGACCGTCGCAGCAAGTATTTGTCAAGCGTGTGCGTTTGGGGTCGTGCATGCGCAAGTGTGCGTGTACGCACTTGAACCCCCCGTCTTTGCTTCGTCTTGGTTCAGTCAAAACCCATACGTGCGGGGTAACAGGTTCGGAATGCGATTCGAAGCTTTCCTATGTTAGATTGCGGTAACGCCGCTGCCCTAGCACGTCACCCGTTCTGTTTTGCATTTCTTCTCGCGAGTCAAGCCGCTTGGGTGCAGCATTGATGCGTTCCTCCGTTGTTTCAAATATCATCCACACTGTGTTAGAACCTTCGGTGCTGAATCCTTTGATTTGCTTACACATTGCTGAGTGGATCGGGGCGGGAAGGCCTTTCCCTGATCTCACCAGCCTATTTTGGGCAAGGCGTCCACTGGTAGGATCGTTTGGGGCCCAATTCCATGTACATCTTTCTTCGTCTTAGTTGGTAGTGTCATTACTCGGGTGGAACGTTTCCGATCCTATAGAATATCGAAGCACGGGTGGCCGACGCCAGATGAATTGGTCAGTTTGTGGCACTGGAGAGATCTCACCTCGTGCGCGCAGATATTTGATTGCTCCAACTTCGACAAGCCTGAGTGCCACTCCTGGACTGATGGGCAAAAGGTTACGCCTTAGTTGATCGGGCCGGCTGCTGGGCTCACCAAGGTTGTGGTTCGTCCCAGTAGTAGCCACGCAGATGCTTCATGCATCGATTGACCAGACGGTCGCCAGAAGTCGAGGAAACATGTGTTATGAACGCTCAGCGTAGGGAAGCGGGCTCTCCGACTCGATGTTCTTCCTTCTTGTCCTCCACATTCCATGATCGGTAGTTGGGGGGTGAGACCGCAGTGGAACGGAGAGCCCCCCACCTGGAAGTCGGTTTCCGATGCGGCGGACCGCCTCTCCGCCCCCGGTGGGCGCGCGGTGGTCCGGGGCGTCCCGCCGTGGTGTCCCGTGCTGTCCCGTCGGCATCCCGTCGGTGCTCCGTCGGCGATGGGCGGTGGCCGGGGATGTGCCGCCTTGTTATCGATAGTGAAGTCGATCGTGGGATCGATCATGAGATCACTAGATTAGAAAATGAGACCGACAGTGAGGTTGAGTGTGGCATTGGCTGTGAGATCGATAGCGGGATCGATGGTGAGATCGATAGCGAGATCCATAGTGAGATCGAAAGCGAGATCTATACTTACGTCAATAGTGAGATCGATTGCGAGATTTATGGTGCGATCGATCGAGTGTGATCGATCCTGTGAGGTCGATAGTTGGATCGACCGAGTGAGGTCGAGAGCGGGGATGATAGTGACATTGCATCGCAGCGCAACATCGTAATCACGCGTCGTCGCTAACTCGAGCCCGCGTCACCTACATCAGCAGCAGCAGTAGCAGCAGCAGCAGCAGCAGCAGCAGCAGCATCATCATCATCATCATCATCATCATCATCATCATCATCATCATCATCATCATCATCATCATCATCATCATCAACATCAACATCAGCATCAACAGCAGCAGCAGCATCATCACACCCATCGCATTTGCTAACAGTTGGTTTTTTCCCCACCCCCCAAACTCCTTATTACCCGAAGGGTGATCGTCTGGGTAATATTTTGAAGGCCTTACAATTGTTGCCGCCGACCTGGTATGTGAGGAGGACACGGAGATGGAACAGGCGAACGAGGAGGGGGGGTCTCTTAGGTCTTTTGGAGCCTCTTGGGGGTCTCTTGGGAGCCTCCTGAGGGCCTCTTCCTGGGGGACTGGGGGCCTCTAGGGGGCCTCTTGGGGGCCTCTTGGGACCTCGTGGGGCCTCCTGGGAAGCTCTGGAGGCGAAGGTTCCAAAGCTCCTTTCTAGTCCCCTTGTGTGGGCACGCTCTGGGAGCCGTCTTGGGGGCCTCTTGGGCCGCTTTGGAGGCCTCTTGGGCTGTCTGGGGCGCCCTCCTGGGTCGATTTGGGACCCTCTCTGAAACTTCTGGGGCTCTCTTGGGGCGATCGTGGAGGCCTCTGGGGCCGTCTTGGAGCATCGGGAGGCCGAGAAGGCGAGAACACAGCAAGTCCATGATTTTGACGTGTTGGGGCCCGTTTCGGAGTGCTCTTGGAGGTCTTGTGGAGCGCACGGGAGGTGTCTTGGACTGTCCGGAGGCCATCTGTGGCGTCTGGGGCGGATAATTCGGCGATTCGCAGCCCTTTTGGACCGTCTTGGAGGTCTTTAGGGGCACCCTTGGCCCGTCTTGGAGTTTTTTGGGCCGCAGGACCCCCTGGGGGGGATGGTATTCAGACCCGGGAGCCCCCCCCCTGGGACCCTTCTCTCCCTGCGGGGAAGGGATCAAATGGAAGGGGCATCCCTTCAGTTTCAACTACGACTTTGATTGCTCAATTTCGCCTCTGCTGGCGCGCTTCAGGAGGAGGGCCTAGGGAAAGGGGGGGAAGCGACGATGGCGACGGCGACGGCGACGACGACGACGACGACGACGACGACGACGACGACGAGGACGAGGGGAAGCGGCGACGGCGACGGCGACGACGACGACGACGAACGGAAGAGCGTCTTCTACACGCCAGCAGGGTCGGCGGAGCTTTCGTCGCCCACCCCATCTTCCCAAAATCGTTCCATGCTCTGTATGGGCAACTCGTCGTCCTGTCCAATGGGCCGTGCTTTCGATGGGTTTGGTTAGATTCCTCATTCGCCTCGCCTACAAGACTCGTCAAACATAAATTTACGCTTTTTGTTTTCGGCGCTTGCGCGGCTGGAGCTACTTCAATGCTAGCATGAAGTGCTTGGCCCACACGCAGGGGTGTGCGAAATCCGACAGTGCCCTCGCAGCATTGAAGAACGCGTTTTCTGACAAGTGCTCGAATTATCGGGCGTTTCGATTTTGAACGGCGTCTCAATGTATGTTTGACGAGGCCTGTTGTGCATGATCATCCGTAAGGGCCTGCCGCCAGCCACCTCTCTATCATGGTGTGCGAGGTCAGGGCTATTTTGAGACGTGTCGGTACTGTTTTGAAAATTTCTGGGAACTTCATGCGAGGGCGACTGGCATTCAGCAACCACCTTGAGACGTCGGAGTTGTTGTTGAGCGCTTCCTTCTGGCGGTCCCTTGCGCAGCGGAGCGACTTGGCCTCCCCATGGTTGGCCCCGCCTGGCCCTCGAAGGAGGCCCAAAACGGGGCCCGAGAAGCGAGGACAGTCTTGAGGATGGGAGCTTCATTTCAGTCGGGCCTGTCCATCTACAGCGGGAGTATTCAAAAATAGTAAAAAGATAGTCTGGGGACGATTTTTTCCCAACCATCCTGTGGTGTTGGGTCCTCGTTTTGAAGAGACGTCGCCCCGCGTTCCTTCCTTCCCGCTGCCCCCTCCCTCCTCCCATCTTCATCATCATCGTCATCATCCCCATCATCGTCATCGTCATCATCATCTGTCGTCATCATCATTATCACCACCCATGTCGGCACACCCCTCACACGTTTCGTGACCCCATAGGGAGCTCCACCGAAGGTCCCAGTGCGTGTGCCCGCATGCGTCCCGCACACTCATTTCGGCACACCCCTCACACGTTTCGTGGCCCCATAGGGAGCTCCACCGAAGGTCCCAGTGGGTGTGCCCGCATGCGTCCCGCACACCCATTTCGGCACACCCCTCACACGTTTCGTGGCCCCATAGGGGCTCCACCGAAGGTCCCAGTGGGTGTGCCCGCATGCCCGCATGCGTTTTTCCCACCGCATTTCGGCACACCCCTCACGTTTCGTGGCCCCATAGGGGGCTCCACCGAAGGTCCCAGTGGGTGTGCCCGCATGCGTCCCGCACACACATTTCGGCACACCCCTCACACGCTTCGTGGCCCCATAGGGAGCTCCACCGAAGGTCCCAGTGGGTGTGCCCGCATGCGTCCCGCACACCCATTTTGGCACACCCTTCACACTATTCGTGGCCCCATAGGGAGCTCCACCGAAGGTCCCAGTGGGTGTGCCCGCATGCGTCCCGCACACCCATTTCGGCACACCCCTCACACGTTTCGTGGCCCCATAGGGAGCTCCACCGAAGGTCCAGTGGGTGTGCCCGCATGCGTCCCGCACACCCATTTCGGCACCCCTCACACGTTTCGTGGCCCCATAGGGAGCTCCACCGAAGGTCCCAGTGGGTGTGCCCGCATGCGTCCCGCACACCCATTTCGGCACACCCCTCACACGTTTCGTGGCCCCATAGGGAGCTCCACCGAAGGTCCCAGTGGGTGTGCCCGCATGCGTCCCGCACACCCATTTCGGCACACCCCTCACACGTTTCGTGGCCCCATAGGGAGCTCCACCGAAGGTCCCAGTGGGTGTGCCCGCATGCGTCCCGCACACACATGTCGTCCCACCCCTCACACGTTTCGTGGCCCCATAGGGAGCTCCACCGAAGGTCTCAGTGGGTGTGCCCGCATGCGTCCCGCACACCCATTCCGGCACATCCCTCACACGTTTCGTGGCCCCATAGGGAGCTCCACCGAAGGTCCCCGTGGCGCAGTCCACATGCGTCTCCTTTGCCCAGTACAGCGTTACGTGGCCCCATATGGAGCCCCACCGCAGGTCCCAGCCAGCCAGCTAGCTCTCTTTGCTCCGCGCAGCGGGCGACCCGCGCGCGTCGCTGGGACTCCTCCGGGGCGACCTGCGCGCGTCGCGGGGGCTCCGTGCTGCGTTCCGCCCAGCGCCTCGCTCGCCCGTCGTCGCTCTGCCCAGCGGCAAGAGCCTTGCCCGCTATCAGCCAGCCAGCTAGCTCTCTTCGCTCCGCGCAGTGGACGACCCGCGCGCGTCGCTGGGACCCCTCCGGGGTGACCTGCGCGCGTCGCGGGGGCTCCGCGCTGCGCTGCTCCCGCAGCCTTGGACTTTTGAGTGCGCGGGCAAAGAGGGAGTAAAGGAAGGGGAGGAAGCGGGCGCGATCCTCGCGGGGGGGCGCGCCGACATTGGCGTCGCGGCGCGCGGGCGATGCCGTCGGGGAGTCCCGGGGAAGCTCCTTGCGGCGGCCACGCCCAGCGTCACGAGTATTCAGAGGCAGTCGTTGTCAAACTATTGGCATTCATACACATTTGCACCACGCTTTGTCATATTCGCATTCATGCACGTAGACTCGCTCGCACGCAGATCATTCACAGTCAGACGCACGCGCGCAGATTCACCCGCGCTCAGTCTCCCTACGTACTCAGATCAATCGTTTTCGTTCACTTTGTGTACCACGCCACTCATGTCGGCACGCCCCTAGCACGGTTCGTTGCCTCATAGGGATCGCCACCGAAAAAATGAATCACTATTGCGGTACTCGCACCTGCATATGGTTGGGTCCCTCGTCAGGCTAATTTTTCTACTATTTTTGGCTTTCGTCCAAAATTACCCTGTAGGGGGACAGGCCCGACCTAAAGCTTCACTGCTGAGAAAGCGGGCGCGCTGGTGACGCCGGTGTCGCACTCGAGGGCCCCCAGCCGCGCTCTCGGCGCCTCCCCGGTGCGGGGCCCGGCCCCCCACGTCGTCGTGCTGTCCGGCTTCCTGCCTCTGCCCCACAGTGGCCAGGAGGGCGATGTTCCCCAATCAGTGCTTGCACTGAAAAGGGGATAAGGGCATTCGCAAATCGAACGATAACCTGGCCATCGTATTTTCTTGCCGATGCTGATAACTGTATTGTATCAAGCGCGGGATTCGAAGCACGACGGGCTGATATTACATACGTGCTAGATAAGAACACTGGCTCTCATTATTCCCCAATCAGTGCTTGCACTGAAAGGGTCCTAGCGGAAGTTGAAAGATTTGACGAAAGTTTCCCGCCAATTTTGGTAGCAGGCGGGGTTCCCGGGTTCCTGGTTATGGGTTCCGTGCCGATTTCGGTGGGTTTGGGGTTCCCGGGTTCCCGGGTTCCCGGTCGATCTCCTCAACCAAAACCATCCAGTGATTGGGTTTTTTCTTTGGTGTAGTTTTGAATTGATCGATGACGGAGGACAGGCGGCGGGTTAGGCAGGTTGGTGTGGTGTGCGGCGGTGGGCTGGTCGGCGGGGTGATTGGTTGGGTTGGTTGAGCTAGGGCAATTTATTCTGCTACCGTGGTTCTCGAAAAAAACGCTCATCTCTATGCGTGTTGAAGCGGGCACAACCCCCGGCCCCAATTTCATCAAAGTTCGGGGTGGTCGACGCGGGGAAGTGCGAGTCGTTTCGAAAAACACCCACATTTGCAAACCGCGGCCCTCTCCCGTGGATGAAACTTGAAATCGGGGGGCGCGGGGGGCGATCTTGCGCCATGTTCTTGTCGTTGTACCTGGGCGTGTTTTTTTCGAAAACGCTGGTGCAGGCGAACTCAGGGGAAAGCAGGCCGTCAAAGTTTCATTGTGCAGTGGCAGGAAGAGAAAGAAGGCGTAACAATTCGATAAGTAAGCTCATCCGCCCAGCGCGCAATTAGCGACGATGGACCATATACATCCGCAAGTCCGTGTTCACATGTCGCGCGTGGCAGAGCCACGTGCATTGAGCACTTACGCAGTGCAGAAGGAACTCACTTGCCCAGATGTGCGCGGTGGCTTGCGGTCGGCGGCCCCAGCCGAGGTTGTATGCGGCGAAAGAGGACAACAGTGCCAGGCAGCGCCGCCCATGTGGTTGTTGCATGGGAGCGACACCGTACCTGGACAGGAGGTTCGAATCCTGCGGCGCAAGATAGCCCCCCAGACCCCTAAGATAAAATTGAGGGTGCGGCAAATGCAAAGGGCATGGGTGGGCAGAAGTATTCGAACCCCAAAACTACCACCCATGCTGAAAACAGCATTGATTTGGGGGGCGGGGGGTGATGAACATCCCCCTCAAGTGCGTGGGGGTTGGAATATGCGATCCATGTACTGTAGTTATTATGATCGTCCGCACCGCCTCGAGGGCCCTAATCGTAGCTGAAGCTTACGTTTGGTCGGCTGGATACTGCGTCCATGCGCGTTTCGTGTGTGATTGTGACGTTGCTTGTGGCTCGTCGCCACCGCTGGACTTGACTCGAAACATTTTACATAATGCCGTCAAAGATGGTTCCAGGGATTGATTGGAAGGCCGTATATGGTTTTCGATTGTCGAGTAAAGTCGACATCGTTTGAGGCAGCGCGTGCTTTTGAGGCGACGTGTCGCATCGGCATCGCACGTTATTGGGCAATTTGTTCCGACCTCGCTTGCCGCTGGATCTTCATTGTTTTGCGTGGTACGAGTACTTGAGATGAATATTCGTACATATATGCTGTTTCTGCAATGTTGCAGCTTCCCTTCATTTCCACCCATCTTGCGCAAGAGACAGGAGAAGTAAATCACACGACTAGACATACAGCAATCGGGTCACTGCATACACAGTTGGCAAGGCAGGAGCTGAACAACACTTACACCCACAGCATCAAAGATCGGCATCACAGGCGGCGAACAAGAATTGAGAAAGGAACCCTCTCCCTGCAAGGGGATACGGGCAGCCAGTGCTCGTTGACGGCTTCATTTATATCGCACATGCAGAAGACCGATACCACGATCTTGCCAGCGTCCGGCTGCGAAAACTTAGTGTTGTCATGGAGCAACAGAGAGATTCACAAGTTCAGAACGCATTGCCACTACAGCAGGAACAGCCGAGCGTAGATTGGAACCTGGATATATTTGGGAAAAGAAGAAGTCGAGAAAGATGAAGAGCAGTCATACAAAGTAACGAGGCTGTTGGCACTCTTCGGGAACTATGTTAACGGTCATTCCAAAGCGCATCAAGGACAAATAAGCCATGCGCTTCACGGCGACCAGGGGAGGAGGTTCGGGACGGCTGCGTGCCAGATAATAAAATTAACGGGGCGATGTTCGACCATGTTTTTTTTGCGACTGGATGGGATCGGCCCTAGAAAATTGCAGAAGTCCTACCAGATAAACAACAACCAACTCATGTCGTACAAGCGACTCCCGTTGCTTTTATAATCGAATTAATAGGCAAGTTATGTTGTTGCTGCCTGTTCGAAATGGTTGCGTTACTATGCCTTCGTTAGTCAGTATGTGTTTCAAAACGTGTCATTGATTCGTTCAAAGTGTTGCGCCATTCCATTTAACGCATTCCCTTCCCTCTTCATCCCCTCCCCTCCCCCTTCTTTCCTCCTCTGATTCTCCATGATCGTTGCCCACCCGATTGCGGCTGTGTCAGAAGCCGCAGAACTCCTTGCCACTTGCGTACCTTCATAGCCAGCATGTGTAGCTGACCGACAGCACATATGAACCAATGGCTGCAACGTGCACTGGCAACATCCATGTTTTTACAAGTCTCGTTGAAATTGACCTTGCACTGCCAGGCGGCTCTCGTCGAACGAATCGCGCTGAACCGCCCGTCAAGGTCATGTGCAGACGGAAGCTCGCCTGAATCGCGAATTGGTTCGTGTATTTTTCCCGCCCGCGCACCTCTGTGCAGGTTAACATTTGGAGGGTGTTGAAAACTGTCACGTGCGCGAAAGGAGCATGACGCCACTCATCCAATCCCTTGGAGTTGTGCAGTTATTTGTGACGGGACTGCGGTGTTGGATCGTGAGCGTTATTGTCTTGTGATTTGGGGCCTCCGAGGTTCGTTCATGCCAGCCTTTCTGCGCCTCGCTCAGGCTCTCTGATCCCCGTGTTTCTCATTCTCATTCCCCCCTCCTCCTGCGCGCCCAGGACGTCGACGCTAATGCGGCAAAGTAGCAGCAGCCCCAAACGGGGCCGGGCGTGCTGTGGAGTGCATGGGGGCCGGGAGCAAGGCCAGAGGGACCACTGGATATGCCATGTAGGCAGGATCATGGAGAACTCACAGGGCAAACAAGTACCGTGCGCAGTAGTAAACGATACAGTACGCCGTCGTGCCAGTCCCAACATCTTGCGCGCCCGTCGCTGCTCCTGACTGGTTTTGCTGCACGTGTCCTGTCGTGTTTGCCCCGGGGACGCAGTCTGCGGGCTTCCTGGCACACATCAAAGTGAGGGGGCGGGAGAGGAGGGAGGAGGGGTGAGGGGGGAGGAGGGAGGAGGGAGGAGAAAGGAGGGAGGAGGGAGGAGGGAGAGGAGGGAGAGGAGGGAGAGGAGGGAGAGGAGGGAGAGGAGGGAGAGGAGAGGAGCGAGAGGAGTGAGAGGAGGGAGGAGGGAGAGGAGGGAGGAGGGAGGAGGGAGGGTCCACAGCCCAGATTGTTGTCCTTGGTTGTCGGGTCTATCCCGCGACCCGCCCCGCGACTCGCTCGCGACGAACGCCCCCCTCCCACGCTTGCGACCCTCGCAATGGGGGAAACGGGTCCTGAGGTTTTCCTTTGTTTTCGGGCTCTCGGGGCCCTCCACGGGCCCCGGGACTGTCAGAGAACGATTCAGGATGAAGATTTCGTCTTGGGGGAAGGCCCCAGGTGCCAGGACCCGTTTCCCGCAGGACCCACTTCTCCCATGCTGAGACCCGCCATCGCGACCCACCCATGTAGCCCTGCCAAATCCAAAGAAAACCCCACTGGCGACGGGTTGGCCCTCTCGGACAGAAGACGTCACTGACTTTTGAGCCTCGCGACCTGGCGGTGACCTGTCCCGCGACCCATCCGAAGTCTTTTGCCAGAGAGAGAGAGAGAGCGGGGCGCCTGCGACGGGCTGACAGATTCGACGATAGCAGCGCCCGTGGCGAGCTTGTTTGCATCGTCGATCGAGCCCGGCAGCCTCGGCAGGGCAGCACGGGCGTCCCCTCCCTCTCATCCGCAATGGCGAGGCTTACTCAGGTAGCTGTCGAGGAAGCCTCCAGCGAATCACCGCCGCCCCCTGCACTCGAAGAAGAAAACAAAAACTCACACAAACAGAAACTTTCAGCGCTAAACGCGGATTTCTTGGATCTGCGCTGGACCCCACCGGCGGCGCCTCGGGCGCCGCCCCTGGCGCGTTTCTTCTATGCACTCTGGAAACACCTGTTTAGTGGAATGTCGGGTGTCATGGTTCTCTGTTTCTGGCTTTTTGGGCCTTCTTGGGGGCCTCCTGGGGCTCCTGCTGACCATCTTCGGGTTTCGCTGGGACGCGATAATGAGTCACAACTTTTTGAGAATTTATGATTTGAGCATACTGGGGTCCTCTGGAGGTCCTCTTGGAGGCCTTCTTCGGCTGTACTCAAGTAGTCTTGGGCCGTCTTGGGGCCACGTTGGACCAGCTTGGAGGCGTCTTTGGCGAACTTGGGGAGTGTCCTGGGTCATCTTGAAACTCATCCTGGGCCATCTTGGACGTCTGAGAGCAAGCTTTGTCCTAATGTGTTCCGCACTTTCTGCGCCCTTCTACATTGACGGCGGGACTGGCCACAGGACACCGTGAATTTGCTTGCAAGGGCCAACGAGTGTTTTGCAATCCTGCACGCCAAGCATTCCTCCAGCAGGCTGCAGGCGCGGCGGATCGAAGGCGCCTCTGGCGAAGCACCGCCGCCTCCTCCTGGAGGTCCTCTGGGAAACCTTGTGGGGCGTCTCGGCGGCCCTTTGGGCCGTCTGCTGGCCATCTCGGGACCATCTTGGGCCGTCTCGGAGGCACGTTTCGGCGGCGAGCGACGGTGGGGGAGTGAGAAGGAGAAGGCCTTCTCAGAAGGTTCGGAAGTCCCCCGGCTTTTGAGGAGTTTTCTGGAATTTTTCCCGCAGGCAGAAACAAATTATCAGAAGGCGCGAGGGTTTCTGAGAAGTCCCGCCGCCTTCTGAGAAGGCCTTCTCCTTCTCGCTCCCCCTCCTCGCTCGCCGCCGAACGTTGGGGCCACCCTAGGCCCCTTCAGGGCCATCTTGGCCATCTCGGGACCATCTTGGAGGCCTCCCTCTTCGACCACTGGGCGAACATTGGCGGCGGAGGTCACAAGCTTCCGCGGGGTCGGCGGCCTGGGCCCTGGAGACCACTGGGCACGCCAGCACCCTTTCGCAGGCGAAAGGAGCGGCGGCTCGAAGAGGCCTGCGGCGAATCACCGCCGCCCCCCGCCGTTCTGGAAATGCCGATGTGGCCAAACGTCGGGCCGAAGCTCACGAAGCGATTGGACCGTCGTCGTGGTCGTCGTCGTCGGCGTCGTCGTCGTCGTCGTGGTCGTGGTCGTGGTCGTGGTCGTCGTGGTGGTGGTCGTCGTCGTGGTCGTCGTCGTCGTCGTCGTGGTGGTCGTGGTCGTGGTCGTCGTCGTGGCCGCGGTCGTGTTTGTTCCCAACCATCCTGTGGTGTTGGGTCCTCGTTTTGAAGAGACAGCGCCCCGCGTTCCTTCCTTCCCGCTGCCCCCTCCCTCCTCCCATCTTCATCATCATCGTCATCACCCATTTCGGCACACCCCTCACACGTTTCGTGGCCCCATAGGGAGCTCCACCGAAGGTCCCAGTGGGTGTGCCCGCATGCGTCCCGCACACCCATTTCGGCACACCCCTCACACGTTTCGTGGCCCCATAGGGGGCTCCACCGAAGGTCCCAGTGGGTGTGCCCGCATGCGTCCCGCACACACATTTCGGCACACCCCTCACACGTTTCGTGGCCCCATAGGGAGCTCCACCGAAGGTCCCAGTGGGTGTGCCCGCATGCGTCCCGCACACCCATTTCGGCACACCCCTCACACGTTTCGTGGCCCCATAGGGAGCTCCACCGAAGGTCCCAGTGGGTGTGCCCGCATGCGTCCCGCACACCCATTTCGGCACACCCCTCACACCCCCAGCTGGTCCCCCATGGGAGAGCTCCACCGAAGGTCCCAGTGGGTGTGCCCGCATGCGTCCCGCACACCCATTTCGGCACACCCCTCACACGTTTCGTGGCCCCATAGGGAGCTCCACCGAAGGTCCCAGTGGTGTGCCCGCATGCGTCCCGCACACCCATTTCGGCACACCCCTCACACGTTTCGTGGCCCCATAGGGAGCTCCACCGAAGGTCCCAGTGGGTGTGCCCGCATGCGTCCCGCACACCCATTTCGGCACACCCCTCACACGTTTCGTGGCCCCATAGGGAGCTCCACCGAAGGTCCCAGTGGGTGTGCCCGCATGCGTCCCGCACACCCATTTCGGCACACCCCTCACACGTTTCGTGGCCCCATAGGGAGCTCCACCGAAGGTCCCAGTGGGTGTGCCCGCATGCGTCCCGCACACCACACACCCTCACACGTTTCGTGGCCCCATAGGGAGCTCCACCGAAGGTCCCAGCATGCGTGTGGCACACCCCTCACACGTTTCGTGGCCCCATGTCCCAGTGGGTGTGCCCGCATGCGTCCCGCACACCCATTTCGGCACACCCCTCACACGTTCCGTGGCCCCATAGGGAGCTCCACCGAAGGTCCCAGTGGGTGTGCCCGCATGCGTCCCGTCGTCTCTCTGCCCAGCGGCAAGAGCCTTGCCCGCTATCAGCCAGCCAGCTAGCTCTTTTTGCTCCGCGCAGTGGACGACCCGCGCGCGTCGCTGGGACCCCTCCGGGGCGACCTGCGCGCGTCGCGGGGACTCCGCGCTGCGCTGCGCCCGCAACCTTGGACTTTTGAGTGCGCGGGCAAAGAGGGAGTAAAGGAAGGGGAGGAAGCGGGCGCGATCCTCGCCGGTGGGCGCGCCGACATTGGCGTCGCGGCGCGCGGGCGATGCCGTCGGGGAGTCCCGGGGAAGCTCCTTGCGGCGGCCACGCCCAGCGTCACGAGTACTCAGAGGCAGACATTGTCAAACTATTGACATTCATACACAATTGCGCCACGCTTTGTCATATTCGCATTCATGCACGTAGACTCGTTCGCACGCAGATTCATTCACAGTCAGACGCACGCGCGCAGATTCACCCGCGCTCAGTCTCCCTACGTACTCAGATCAATCGTTTTCGTTCGCGTTGTGTACCACGCCACTCATGTCGGCACACCCCTAGCACGGTTCGTTGCCTCATAGGGATCGCCACCGAAAAAGTGAATCACTATTGCGGTACTCACACCTGTATATGGTTGGGTCCCTCGTCAGGCTAATTTTTCGTTGTTTCCCAACCATCATGTGGTGTTGGGTCCTCGTTTTGAAGAGACGTCGCCCCGCGTTCTCCTCTCCTCTCGTCCCCCCCCTCCCCCCTCCTCCCACCGATATCATCATCATCATCATCATCATCATCATCATCATCATCATCATCATCATCATCATCGTCATCGTCATCGTCATCGTCATCGTCATCGTCATCGTCGTCTTCATCATCACCGTCATTACCATCATCGTCATAATTCTCACGACCATCTTCATCACCATCATCGTCATCATCATCATCATCAGCAGCAGCAGCATCATCATCATCATCATCATCATCATCATCATCATCATCATCAGCATCATCATCATCATCATCATCATGATCATCACCATCACCATCACCCCTCACACGTTTCGTGGCCCCATAGGGGGCTCCACCGAAGGCACCAGTGCCGCCGCCCGCATGCGTCCCGCACACCCATATCGGCACCCCTTTCACGCGTTTCGTGGCCTCATAGGGAGCCCCGCCGAAGGTCCCAGTGGGTGTGCCCGCATGCGTCCCGCACACCCATTTCGGCACACCCCTCTCACGCTTCGTGGCCCCATAGGGAGCTCCACCGAAGGTCCCAATGGGTGTGCCCGCATGCGTCCCGCACACCCATTTCGGCACACCCCTCACACGCTTCGTGGCCCCATACGGAGCTCCACCGAAGGTCCCAGTGGGTGTGCCCGCATGCGTCCCGCATACCCATTTCGGCACACCGCTCACACGTTTCGTGGCCCCATAGGGAGCTCCACCGAAGGTCCCAGTGGGTGTGCCCGCATGCGTCCCGCACACCCATTTCGGCACACCCCTCACACGTTTCGTGGTCCCATAGGGAGCTCCTCCGAAGGTCCCAGCGGGTGTGCCCGCATGCGTCCCGCACACCCATTTCGGCACACCCTTCACACGCGTCGTGGTCCCATAGGGGGCTCCACCGAAGGCCCCAGTGCCACCGCCCGCATGCGTCCCGCACACCCATTTCGGCACACCCCTCACACGTTTCGTGGCCCCATAGGGAGCTCTACCGAAGGTCTCAGTGGGTGTACCCGCATGCGTCCCGCACGCACATTTCGGCACACCCCTCACACGCCTCGTGGCCCGCATGCGTCCCGCACACATTTCTGCACACCACTCACACGTTTCGTGGCCCCATACGGGGCTCCACCGAAGGTCCCAGTGGGTGTGCCCACATGCGTCCCGCACACCCATTTCGGCATACCCTTCACACGTTTCGTGGCCCCATACGGAGCTCCACCGAAGGTCCCAGTGGGTGTGCCCGCTTGCGTCCCGCACACACATGTCGGCACACCCCTCACACGTTTCGTGGTCCCATAGGGAGCTGTATCGAAGGCCCCAGTGCCGCCGCCCGCATGCGTCCCGCACACCCATGTCGGCACACCCCTCACACGCTTCGTGGCCCCATAGGGAGCTCTACCGAAGGTCCCAGTGGGTGTACCCGCATGCGTCCCGCACACACATTTCGGCACACCCCTCACACGTTTCGTGGCCCCGTACGGAGCTCCACCGAAGGTCCCAATGGGTGTGCCCGCATGCGTCCCGCACACCCATTTCGGCACACCCCTCACACGCTTCGTGGCCCCATACGGAGCTCCACCGAAGGTCCCAGTGGGTGTGCCCGCATGCGTCCCGCATACCCATTTCGGCACACCCCTCACACGCTTCGTGGTCCCATAGGGAGCTCCACCGAAGGTCCCAGTGGGTGTGCCCGCATGCGTCCCGCATACCCATTTCGGCACACCCCTCACACGTTTTGTAGCCCCATAGATGCTCCACCGAAGGCGTTCTCGTTTGGAAAGGCTAACGGGGGTGCTTCGGCATTTTCGAGGGTTCACGTCGAGGTTTGAAGTGCGAACCTCGAGGATCAAGGCTCGAAGCTTTCTGTCCTTCGGAGGCCCGTCGTCGCCACGACGGTCTCAGCCAGCAGCGATCCATGAGGCGGCAACTGCGGGGAACTCAGTCAGCGTCGCCCCGGCCGTCTCCCAGCTTCGCGCAAAACCTCACATGTCCGGCGGCGGCGGCGGCGGCGGCTGCGACGACGACGACGACGACGACGACGACGACGACGACGACGACGACGACGATTCGCTAGGTGCGTCGACGATGCGTCGGCGATGCGGCGCGACCCTTCGACCCGGGCCCCCTTTGGGAGGCTTGCGGCATGTTCGCGTTGTGCGGACGCGCTGGCGATCCGTTGAAGGTTGAACGCCGGGCCCATTTCGGGCCTTGGGGCCCACGGAAACGAACCCACGGCGCGAAATCAATAACGAAGATGGGGTCGAAAGGATCCAGGGACCTCCAGGAGCGGAGATCGTTCGAGGTGAATTCTCCCCACGGTGTCAGGGACCAGCAACAGGGTCGTCTCGACACGAACCCGCCGCGCACAGGAGGAGCTTTGACGGAGCGGGTGTCCCGCCGGCCTCCCCGGCGCACTGCTCCCTCGGCCGACGTCGCACAGGCGTGATCCTGGACTGCGGCCGCCACGAGGTCGGGAACGGCAAGAAGGAGGACGACGACTGGTGGCTCGAGCTCTACGCGCTGCTCGCGCGCCACGCGCCGCGAGGACCTCCTGCTCACGCGGGCGCCGCGCATCGAGTTCTTCTTGGCCGGGCCGCCGGAGGGCTTGCGTAAGCAGCTGGAGCAGTTTGCGGCGCGCACGAAGCGGTGCAGGAGGGAAGCCACGGATCTCGCCAGTGAGTTCGATTTCACCGAGTTTATCCGCGAGGCCTGACCTGAGGAGCGGCCCGCCACAGCCGCGCCTTCTCTCGGCTGTCTAACTGTTCGGCCTCGCGCCGCGGACGCCCTGCGCGCGTCGCTGGGACCCTCTCGGGGCGATCAGCGCGCGCCGCGCGAACTCCGCGCTGCGCTTTGTCCAGCGCCTCGCTCGCCCGTCGTCGCTCCGCCCGGCGGCCAGAGCCATGCGCTATCAGTTGGTCAGCAAGCAATCTCTGTTCCACACAGCGCACGATTCGTGCTCGTCACTGACCCCTTCGGGGCGACCTGCGCGCGTCGCGAGGGCTCCGCCTGGCGCTGCGCCCGCAGCCTTGGAGTTTGGAGTGCGCGGGCAAGTGAAAAGGAAAAAGGGGGAGGAAGCGGGCGCGATCCTCGTGCGGGGCGCGCCGACATGGGCGTCGCGGCGCGCGGGCGCTGCCGCCCGGGTTCCCAGGGAAGCCCCCTGCAGAGGCTACGCCACACAATTCGGCACATTTTCATACGGTTCGTGGCCCCATAGGGAGCACCACCGAAGAAGATATCCACAATTGCGGTATTCACAACTGCATATATTTGGGTCCTTCGCCTGGATAATTTTGTCGTCGTTGTCGCCCCCCCCATCCGATCGGAGGGGGGGGCGTGGGGCCGTAGGACCCATCCCGTCTTGGGGGATTGGGATAATCGCACCGAGTGTTTATTAGCGCGGCGCCTCCGCATCCTCCCATCCTCCCCCCGTCCCCATCATACCCACTCATATTCAGACCACCCATAATCATATCAACTCACCCCCAGAGTTACCCACAGTCACACACCATCACATCCGTGCCTGTTGATTTCCATATCCACTCATACTCAGATCAGACTCGCTCACACTCCTCCCTCCGCTCCCCATACTCAGGGCCATTCACACTCAAATTCATTCATATCCAGATTCGCTCGTATCCAGAAACGCTGAAACTCATATTCGCTCGCATGTAGGCTCACTCATACCCAGATTAACATTCAGTCTCACTTATACACGCACCCTCTTACTCTGATTTATTCAGACTTACAGTTTACCCACACTCGCGTATGCACAGACTCGCCCGCATGCAGACTCGTCCAGGCCCACTCGCATTCACACACATGCATACGCAAACCTCATGTTTGATGCGCACTCACATTCCTATGTACGTATGCATACCGCGATGTAGCACGCATTACATTTGGACCTTCCATGGTGGAGTCGCCAGTGGGTATATCACGGACCGTTCGCGCTCAGATTGTCAGGGCCTCTCAGGTATAAAGGCCGTATTGGCCCATCGGACGTCTTCATTATCAGAGTTATGTTGTTTTCGCGATGTAGTGGGCACGAGGACCCTCATGCGAAACTTGCCACTGAGCCCTTCCGTGGAGCTCTCTATGGGGCCACTAAACGTGTGAGGGGTGCTGAAATCGATGAGGGCCCTTCATGCAAACTCTGCCGCTCGAGCCTTTGGCGGAGCCACGAAACATGTGAGGGGTGTGCCGAAATGGGCGTGGACCACCATTCGAACCCTGCCAGTGGGGCCTTCGGTGGAGCTCCGTATCGGGTCACGAAACGCGGACAGATGATGGTGTTCATGATGATGACCGTGATGCTGATGTTGATTGTGATGACACTGATGATGAGCATGACACTGATGATGATGTTGATGATGTTGATGCTGATGCTAAGGATGATGATGATGCTGATGATGATGTTGTTGTTGATGGTGATGATGATGCTGATGATGATGATGCTGATGCTGATGATGCTGATGATCAATGCTGAGGATACATGGGGGATGGCCGCAACGAGAGGGGGCAGTTGGATGAGACGCGGGGCACTGCTGGTCAAAACGATGACTCGGCACCACATGATGTTTAAAAACTACTCGGGATAACAGGTCCACGACTGCGCAGGCATGTGATGCACTTCTGCTTTGTGCTTGCCCCAGGAACACCGGAAGTTCGGGGGCCTGGCGACCGCGGAATGCAGGGTGGGCGGAGCGGATCGGAAAATCTGTTTGTGCGATTTGAGAGTGGTTCCATAGAACATCTGATGGGGAAACTGCTTCAGATGATCTTTGGAACTACAGCTCTCCCTACCAATGAGTTATATGAACTTAGGGTCAGGAGCGTTGGCCGCCAGATTTGGGAACCCCCCGCATAGTGTTTTATGTTTGTGTTCGTCGCCGCTGTGGAAATTCTGGCGAATACTTTTCGTAGAGTGTCGACCTGGTGATCATAGAACTGATAGGTCAGGGGATCTGTGGCTCCAAAGATCGTCTTCAGCGGTTTCCGAAGAATCAGACGCTACCCAGGACCCTACCCCGGAGCCTCTCGGGACCCTCCAACAACCCTCTCGGGAGCCTCTCCGGACCGTCCCACTAGACTTTCAGGATCCTCTCAAAAGCTGTATCAGCTCCACCTAAAATGTCCGAATCATCGCTTCGTCATACCACAGGCAATCGTATCGCTACCAGGTTGTGCTGTTGGGATTTTGTTTCGATAGCGTTTGCTATCTGGCGTCTCTTGAGATATCTTCGGAGTTCTACTTGTGCTTCGTGTGTACTTCTTTCTGCCTCTTGAGATCCTCTTGTCCCGTCTTGGAGGCCTCTGTGGATGTGCTAGTGGCCCCCCGTGATTCGCATAGAGCGTACGGGCGGCATATTGATGCCATCTTGGGCCGTCACCCGCCCGCATGAGAGGCACAGGTTCCCATGCACTCCGGGGCCTTCCTCGACACCTCCCGCCGCCCATCCCGCACCCCAGAAATCGCGAAAACCGTCCCCTTGGAAGCGGTTGGGGACAGGCGGGCATCCCCCATGCCAGTACCCCAGGGGTCGGCGGCTTGCGTTGGAGTGTCTCACCGCAGTTCGAGCACATGTAAGTTACCATGGCCAACATGTCAGGGTCAGTCAGGGGTCAAAGTATCACTCTGCCCGCAGTCATCCCCCCTGCTGACGCGTGTCTCTGTCCCGCAGTCGGACAATGAGCTCTCAGAACAAAGTTCCAGCCGCTGAGCTGAAACGTAATTCTGCTGGAGCATTGGCGGTAGCTCGCAGAGGAAAATCGCTTCGCACCTTGGCAGCCAGTGCAGGAGGAGGAACAGGACGACGACGGAGGCGAGGACGAATAGGAGGAGGAGGAGGAGGAGGTACCAGACTGAACCCGTGATGCATCAACGAGCTTTCTAAGGCCGTCTTGCGTCCCTCCAGAGGCCCTCTTGGGCCAGCTTGGTGCTCTCTTGGAAACGTTCTGGGCCGTCTAAGAACCCTCCTGGGCTGACTTGGGGCCGTCTTCGGAGGTTATTGGGCCGCCGTTGGGCGATCTTGGAGGCAGGCCCCTACAAGACTCGTCAAAAAAACTGATGGTTTTCGGCGCTTGCGCGGTCGGCGCTATTTCAATTCTGGCATGGGGTGTTTGGCCCACACGTCAGCGTTGTCCGAAATCTTGCAACTCCCTCACAACATGGAAGAACGCGTTTTCTGACAAGTGCCCGAACGATCGGGCGTTCCGAGCTTGAAAGGCGTGCCAATTTGTTGTCGAGGCTTGTAGGGCAGTCCAGGGTTGAAGCACACCCGAAAAGGTGGAGACCCAAATTTTAATTAAACAAAAAAAATGACTTGGGTATCTGATCCAAGGCTTCTGGAGGTCCTCCTATGGCTCTCTTAAGCCGTCTTGGGGGCCTCTCGGGTTGTCTTGAAGCCATATTGGATGACATTGGGGCCATATTGGGAAAGAGCACCAGTGGATCCCCTCGTAATTGAAGGGGGGGGCTCGCAGAACCCCCCCCCCTGCGCTGGAAAGAGGGGGCGCGGGCCTGGGAGACGGCCTCTCCCGCTTTTCCTTTCTGCGCCGGAGAAGGTGGGGTGAGGGTTAAGGTTTACGGTGTCGGCTTCCGGGTCAGGGTTACGGCTAAGGTTTACGAGGGGTAGGGGTTAGGGGTTGTGGGTGTGGTGAGGGTCAAGCTAGCCAGCTCGAGCGAGTCAAGCATGGCATGCCCATTCCCACCCGCCCTCCCACAACATAAGAAACAGTGACGGCACAACGGACAGGCTGCTGTCTTCCCCCTCGCCGTACCCCTAAACCCCCCAAATCCGTTCCGAAGGAAGCCTTCGGACTCCTCCCGGGTCCAAACGCACAACTTTTTCGAGTCGCGTCCAGCCGTGACTTAGAGGAGGACCCCGGATTCTTGGGGCAACGGACAGGCTGCTGTCTTCCCCCTCGCCGTACCCCCAAACCCAGATCCGGTCCAGGAAGCCTTCGGACCCCTCCCGGGTCCAAACGCATCATTTTTTCGAGTCGCGTCCAGCCGTGACTTAGAAGAGGACCCCGAGGGCCAGAAAGACTCGAACACCGATGCTCGAGGCGGAAAGTTCGAGCACCTCACTGAAACGCTCCCCCTCGGCGCGCCGCCGACCATGACCTGTGGGCGGCGCCGGCGCCGTGCCGCCGCGACGGGCCCTCCCGGTTCGGGCTTCGAGGCCCCTCGGAAGCTCTCGCGGCTCTTCGGCCCACATCCCCGACGATAAGATTTTCTCTGTGCTGGCGTTTTACCGTGGACTTCGCACGTTTTTCCCTCGACTTCGCCCTCCAGGGAACGGTTTTTGGCCCCCGGGACCAATAAGAAAATATCCAGGACGCAAAATTGCTCCCGAGAAAGGGGATCTCAGAAAGGCTTGGGACAAATTCGCCGGCCCAACGGGCCAGAGGCGTGCAAAGATCTCCGGTAACTAGTTAACAATCTTCTAGTTCGCGCGCGCGGGGCGACCCCTGGGGGCCCCCGGACGAGAAGTACCCCGAGCAGGTCCCGGGCCAGCCCAACGGGCCGGGCCAGAGGCGTGCTAAGATCTCCGGTAATTAGTTAACAATCTTCTAGTTCGCGCGCGCGGGGCGGCCCCTGGGGGCCCCCGGACGAAAAGAACCCCGAGCAGGTCCTGGGCACGTCGGTCCCAGCGATGGTTTTCTTCTTCGGCGCTGACTTCCAGGTCCCAGAGCGCCCCAGGAACACCCCAAGAGAGCCGAGACGCCCCCGAGACGATCCGAGGGGCCCTGAGTCGCCGAAAGATCGTTCCAAGACGCCCAAGATGGCCTCCAGACGGCCGAAGACGCCGCCAAGAAACCGCGGGGAGCCTCAGGAGGCCCTCCAAGAGCCTGAACAAGCAGAAACCTCCCAGGCATTGGTCACCCCAGGGCCTCCTGGAACGCCCCGGCGCCCAATGAATTGGCGAGCTAAAAACGTGCGCCGAGCCAAAGCGGGAGCGCAACTTTGAGAAAATTTCGCTCGGCGCCCAAGCGGGAAGGTCATTTCATTCGCTTCGAGCGGGGGGGAGGGGGGGTGCCGCGCCCAACTCTTGCCATGCACTTTTGCGGGGTGGACGACAAGAACAGCTATGCGGGCAGGGAAAATCAGCATGGCATTGCTTCTGACAAGTAAGGTGGCCCCTCCCGCCTTGGGGTTGCCCCAGAAGTCCGCGCGCGCTGTGCGCCGCGCCCCATTCCTGCCACGCATTTCGCATCGTCGAGGACAAGACAGGCCATGATGAAAGGAAAAACGGCAACTCGGTATTGTTTTTTTTACAGTCAGGATGGGAGGGCCCGCAGCCCGCATGGACGTCCGCGCGCGATGCGCGCCGCGTCCCACTCCTGCCACATATTTCGCACCGTCGGCGACAAGGCAAGCCATGCTGAGAGGAAAGAACGGAGACTTCGTATTGATTTTTTACTGTCAGGATGGGCGGGCCCAGATTGACGGCCGCGCGCGCGATGTGCGCCGCGTCCCATATGTGCGCCGCGTCCCACTGCTGCCACATATTTCGCATCGTCGGCGACAGGGCAGGCCATGCTGAGAGGAAAAAGCGAGGACTTTGTATTGATTTTTTGAAGTCAGGATGGGCGGGCCCAGATTGACTGCCGCGCGCGATGCGCGCCGCGTCCCATTCGTGCCACACTTTTCGCATCGTCGACGACAAGAAAGACGATGTTGAGAAGAAAAACGGCCATTTCGTATAGATTTTTTACAGTCCAGATGGGAGGTCCCGGATCGGGTTGCTATCGGCCGGAATACGAAGTAGGTGGGGGGATACAATCTTAGGGAACAAGGATTTGGGTTTAGGTAGGGGTTAGGTTTCAGGGCTTAGGGCTCGTAGTCGTGGGTCAGGGGTTAGGGGCTAGGATGGCGGTTAGGGGTTAAGGATAGGGTCAAGTTAGCCAGCTCGAACGAGCGAGAGGGTTCCGTCCACTCCCACCCGCCCTCCCACAACATAAGAAGCAAGCGCGTCGCGTCCGACGCCCGTCGTTTATCTTATACCGTGGGCGGCTAGACGTTCCCCGCGCGCGATGTGCGCCGCGCCCCATATGCGCAGGTCCCGGGCCAGCCCCACGGGCCAGAGGCGCGCTAAGACCCCCGGTAACTTAGTTAACAATCTTCTAGTTTGCGCGCGCGGGGCGGCCCCTGGGGGCCCCCGGACGAAAAGAACCCCGAGCAGGTCCTGGGCACGCCGGTCCCAGCGATGGTTTTCTCCTTCGGCGCTAACTTCCAGGTCCCAGAGCGCCCCAGGAACGCCCCAAGAGAGCCGAGACGCCCCCGAGCCAATCCGAGGGGCCCTGAGTCGCCGAAAGATCGTTCCAAGACGCCCAAGCTGGCCTCCAGACGGCCGATGACGCCGCCAAGAAACCGCGGGGAGCCTCAGGAAGCCCTCCAAAAGCCTGAACAAGCAAAAACCTCCCAGGCATTGGTCACCCCAGGGCCTCCTGGAACGCCCCGGCGCCCAATGAATTGGCGAGCTAGAAACGTGCGCCGAGCCAAAGCGGGAGCGCAACTTTGAGAAAATGTCGCTCGGCGCCCAAGCGGGAAGGCTATATCATTCACTTCGAGGGGGGGGGAGGGAGGTGTGCCGCGCCCAATGCTTGCCATGCACTTTTGCGGGGTGGACGACAAGAACCGCTTTGTGGGCAGGGAAAACCAGCATGGCATTGCTTCTGACAAGTAAGGTGGCCCCTCCCGCCTTGGGGTTGCCCCAGAAGTCCGCGCGCGCTGTGCGCCGCGCCCCATTCCTGCCACGCATTTCGCATCGTCGAGGACAAGACAGGCCATGACAAAAGGAAACGGCAACTCGGTATTGTTTGTTTTTTTAAACAGTCAGGATGGGAGGGCCCGCAGCCCGCATGGACGTCCGCGCGCGATGCGCGCCGCGTCCCATTCCTGCCACATATTTCGCACCGTCGGCGACAAGGGAGGCCATCAGAGAGGGAAAACGGAAACTTCGTATTGATTTTTTACAGTCATGATGGGCGGGCCCGGATTGACGGCCGCGCGCGCAATGTGCGCCGCGTCCCATATGTGCGCCGCGTCCCACTGCTGTCACATATTTCCAATCGTCGGCGACAAGGCAGGCCATGCTGAGATGAAAAAACGAAGACTTTGTATTTAAAGTCAGGCTGGGCGGGCCCAGATTGACTGCCGCGCGCGATGCGCGCCGCGTCCCATTCCCGCCACGTTTTTTTTTCGCATCGTCGACGACAAGAAAGACGATGTTGAGAAGAAAAACGGCCACTTCGTATTGATTTTTTACAGTTCGGATGGGAGGTCCCGGATTGGGTCGCTATCGGCCGGAATACGACGTAGGTGGGGGCATATTTTCATAAGGAACAAGGATAGGGGGTTGGGTTAAGCTCAGGGTTTAGGATTTAGGGTCTAGGGCTTAAGGCTCGTAGTGGTTAGAGGTTATAGTGGTCAGGATTTGGGGGTCGTAGTCATTAGGGTTAGGGGGCCTGGTTAGGGTTAGTGTTAAGGTTCCTGTTCGATTATTTATTTGTCTTCTGTTTGCCTTGTTTCCGCTTCCGCTTTCACAAGCGTGTGGCCGCGCAGCTGCCTGGGGGCTGCGC